TGTTAAGAAGTGTGTTACAAGCTTAATCTCTATATGAAAAGTCATTTGAACAGAATATGTAGAGCTGCTGCTGTTGATGAGGCGTTCAGTTCCATTTTCCTTAATCACTTGTACAGATTGGAAATAAAATTAAAAATTCAATCTCAAACCTGATTGATGATTTGCTTTGACATGCTTGTTAGTCTATTAGTACTGGGAAGAAGCACAGAGGAAAAATACGAAATGTTGTTAATATTCATTATTCTTTTGTTAGTATTAAAATAGGTATCCCAAATATCCCAATTGTATTTCATAATTCATGTACGTGTAGGCCTAGGCTACTGTGCAATGTGCAGCTTCGCGGTCACATGAAAGTCAACACACCACATATCTTGGAACTTACTTCTTATACTTGTCAGGATTTTGGGCGATTTATTGAAAGCACTATACAATAATGGAATATGTTTAATGTCTAGAAATTACCTGTAGCGTAGTTAGTAGATAGCGCTCTCGACTCACAACCTATGAGACCCGGATTGGGTTCCTGGTAGAGCGAAATGTTTGGTCACGTTACCTTGTACCTTATGCCTCTCTATTCATCTATTAGTAAATAGGCACCTGACAGTTTACGACCTCGATGAGACTAACAAAATGAAGATTTTCTTAGGTCTATACTTTATTGAACTGTAGATGAAAAGTTTAATAAGTTTTTGCTTTCCTTTGAATTTCCAAGAACAATGGCCTACCGTACATAATCCAAGATAGCATTGTGGGCTATGCAAATGAACGGTTTGAATACGTTGAGTTCGTTCCGAGAATCAATGTCCCCGGGATCCAGTCTCTGACCTGGTCTCCAGGTTGACGGTTTGGTCAACCAGGCTGTTGTACCTGGATGGGGTTCTGGGAGTTCTAGTCCTGAAACTCGGCCATGCTTGACGCTGCCATGCGAAGTCAAGCAAGGACTGCGGACAGGTTTCACACCGCTGCGAGAAGTCTGACGTAGAAATCACAGCCCGATTGATCCGGTACCCTCTTAGAGGCGTCTTATTAGGTCCCGTCTTGAACAACGAAGGAAATATTTCCCTTATTCCGTCTTGCCTCGTGGACTCGCAAGGAATGATTTCAGTGTGCAGGTTTAGAACCGGTCTCGATAATATTTCCCCGTAAAGAATTCATTATCTTTAGTGCTCCGGGGAGTTCAGTTTGTGGTATGATACCAATAATGTCAATTGTTTTATTGTATGGATTTGAGTACTTAAATAAGTGTGTGTTCTCCACATAGACAGATTTTCTAGCTTTGAATGGGGCTATTAGCGAGCAATAAAATTCCTCCCTAGATCTAGTGTCATGAAGAGCAGGTCATGATGATTCAACCCGTCGTCTTATTGATCACACTACATTTTTCAAGCAATCGATCCAGACAAAAATTACGGTGGTTTAGGTAATTTATTAACCCCTTAGTATTGACGCTTAAGGACTGGAGAGTATCGGCTACGGGATAAGGGAGGAGGAGGGTGTACTGGTGAGTTAACCTAGGTTTGAACGCTTTTAGTTAACCTAATCCATTGCATTTTTTACGGAGTGGAAAACAGCCTGCGTGATAGTGAGGATTTTTTTTTTTGGGGGGGGGGGGCTTGCATTAGCGTTACTGATTAATGGTTTTATATATCCAAGTAAAGCAGCTGCTTTCTCCAAAAGTAAAGCAGTTATTTGCATGACATTTCGACGCGTTATACTTAGGCTATACGTTATACTCAGCTTATACGGAGATCCAAAACACTGGGAGAGGCGGGACGTGTGACTGAGGGTGACCAAATGGGTAGAGAATAAAAGGTGTTGGGTGGCAGGTTCCATCACCATCATGTTCCCTCATGTTCTCACAAGGATCTCTTAGTTTGGACGGAGTCGTTTTTAATATCTGGCGTCAACCATTAATGTGTGTGTCTTTGAGTGAGGTTATGACTATAGGTGTTGGTCTGTATCGTATGGTGTTGGCGCAGGGTACGACACGGTTGGTCACACCAATATACAGCACCAGGCGGTGTGTGTTAGGTTACTCTAGGGTTGGTGGGTAGCGTCAGCGGACGGGAAAATCTTGGTCGCGGGATCCAGTCACACCTGAGAACTCTAGGTTTTCTAGTTTAGAACTCTTGATTTTCTTCCTAGAAGCTTGCAGTCTCCTGCTGGACAAGAAAACGTGTACAGTATCTTGGTGTTCTAGAAAGGGTTTGGGGCATGGTACATGTTTCTCATAAATAGGTTCAACACTTGGGCTCTTGTGGGATACTTCCAATTTTAGTGTGTTGGTTTAGAATTTGTTTGTTTGTCATGTTCTCTGTGCATTTTACATTTGTAGATTGTAAACTTTCATACTTTCATAGATATAGGCATTAGAGTAACCAGTACTGAGGAGCATTTTCTTTACCATATTATCTTCGAGAAGGTAATTCCATACCCATTTAGAGAGGATTCTCGGCACGGTTGAGATTTGCATAAATCGGCCTACAGTTAAAGCAGCGAGAATATATATATATATATATATATATATATATTATATATATATATATATATATATATATATATATATATATATATATATATATATATATATATATATATATATATATAATTTAATTTAAACACTAATATTCTCAATATTTCTTACGTTTTTCTTCTGTCGAGGGACGCTGAAAAATTAACTCTCCAAAGTTCATTTTCACAATTTATTATGGTCTGACGCCTCGAGATGCTTAATTTAAATGGTGTGTGTGTATATGATATATATATATATATATATATATATATATATATATATATATATATATATATATATATATATATATATATATATATATATATATATAGTCGTACCTAGTAGCCAGAACGCACTTCTCTGCCTACTATGCAAGGCCCGATTTGCCTAATAAGCCAAGTTTTCCTGAATTATTATATTTTCTCTAATTTTTTTCTTATGAAATGATAAAGCTACCCATTTCATAATGTATGAGGTCAATTTTTTTTTATTGGAGTTAAAATTAACGTAGATATATGACCAACCCTACCTAACCTAACCTATCTTTATAGGTTAGGTTAGGTAGCTGAAAAAGTTAGGTTAGGTAGTCGAAAAACAATTAATTCATGAAAACTTGGCTTATTAGGCAAATCGGGCCATGCATAGTAGGCTGAGAAGTGCGTTCTGGCTACTAGGTACGACATATATATATATATATATATATATATATATATATATATATATATATATATATGTCGTACCTAATAGCCAGAACGCACTTCTCAGCCTACTATTCAAGGCCCGATTTGCCTAATAAGCCTAGTTTTCATGAATTAATGTTTTTCGACTACCTAACCTACCTAATCTAACCTAACCTAAGTTTTTCGGCTACCTAACCTAACCTAACCTATTAAGTTAGGTTAGGTTAGGTTAGGTAGGGTTGGTTAGGTTCGGTCATATATCTACGTTATTTTTAACTGCAATAAAAAAAATTGACCTCATACATAATGAAATGGGTAGCTTTATCATTTCATAAGAAAAAAATTAGAGAAAATATATTAATTCAGGAAAACTTGGCTTATTAGGCAAATCGGGCCTTGCATAGTAGGCTGAGAAGTGCGTTCTGGCTACTAGGTACGACATATATATATATATATATATATATATATATATATATATATATATATATACACACGGGTATGTAATTCATACGCGCCAGTGGGTGCCACTTATCAAATTATGAAGAGAACGGGGCACTAATACGCAATCAGGGAATCCATAATAAATTTTGTATTTGTATTGCTTAACAGATCCTTTGTTCAAATATGGTTATAAATAAAAGATTGCAATGAAAGGCTAAAAGTTGTGAAACCCCCAGAGCTCCTCCCAGGATCCCGACGAGATCAGGAAGCTGGCAGCTTCTCTCCTTGTCTCAATGAGCTCCGAGCTCAATTCTTTAAGAACAACTTCTGGTGCCTCTTCCCCCTGGGGGCCAAAAGTCTCTTGATTCTAGTCGTAAACTAAGTTGTACTGCTGGTCCAGTCAGTCCCTTACAGTTATTGAACTTGTCTACTTCAGTAAGGTCAGCGGGTCCAACAGGTTGATACGGTAGGGTGTTGTGGACAAATGTTGCACATGCATGGTTGCATAGTATTAACGCTCGAGGGAATTTGAGATACACATAGCTAATGGCAGTAATGGGGGTGTAACACCGCAAGGGGGAGGCGACACTGGCAGCGGTATACCCACATTCCCTTCACACTCATTCCTTCTCTTCGCTCTAAACATAATTCCAGGCAAATTATATTGATTGTGGCACTCCGAGAAGTGCTTTGTGGCACCTCCCAGTATTACTTTGCGGCGAATCGTTTTACTCTGCAAGAATGTAGAGTGGTTTACCAGGCAGTAAAGTGGACTGTGGTTCTCTATAAGAATGTGGAGTGTTTGGCCCCTCAAGATTGTAGATTGTGGCACTCCACCAAGAGTAGGCCTATTCCATGTGGCAACTCCCAATTATGTGGAAATTAACAGCCTCTAAGGATGGAGATTGTTTTAGCCTACTCCCAATGAGTGAAGATTGTAGCATACCAACCAAAAATTGTAGAACATTCTCAGAATGTGTATTATATCACTCCAAAGGAAAATGGACTAAGATCATTCGAATATTATCCGGTAATTATTCTTGTCAAAAAATGATGGCTGCTTCATAAAGTACCACGAAATCATAGACTCCTGTCATTTCATATTTTGATATCGCGAGTTAGGCTTACATTATATTATTATTTTACCGTTAATATTATGTTGCCACTTATTTTTATCCCTTTTATTTACTGTTGTCTTGACTTTTATTGATTTGGTCAAAAAAATTTTCATTACCATTACTTTCACTACTTTAGTTTATTATTTTGCAGTTATTGTTTTGATTATTAGTATTGCCAATATTGTAGTGTTTAATATTTAAGCTTCACAGTTATCAAATTAACTGATTTTTATTATTTTTGTGTTATAGGTGATAAATTCCATGAGGTTCTCTCCAGGACACGAGGCTGTCTTTAATGTAAGTCACTCCTCTTTCTCAGAGACTCCTTACTAG